AGGCATGTGTCTAAAGTGAGTACAGAATACACAGGAGTGGTCACCCTTAGCTAGCCTCCCCACCCCCTCACCTTTCTCCCCTCCCCTCTGCCTTACCTGGGGTCCAGAGCATCAGCAGCCCCAACAGCTCAGCAGGGAACCTCATTTTGAGAAGCTGAACTGAGGAGCCCCCTGAGTCAAGGCAAGATCAGAGCTGGCCTTTTAGCTGAGACTTGCAGGGGCAGCTCCTCCCTGGGGACCCTCATGCAAATGCCCTGGGGGGAGGGGCAGCTGGGTGGAGAGAGCCCGAAGCAGGACACAGGAAGCTCTTGTGAAGAGAGAGAACACAGTATCCTCTCTGTGTGCAGGAATGTACTGGGTGTAGCCTGTGCTCCTGCAGTGGTCCTGTGAGAGGCTGACCCAGGGGCAGGGACAGGGCTGGACAGAGAGCAGCCCCCACCTGCCCTCAATGTCCTTCATTTCAGAGATAGTGGTTGACTTACTGCACTGACTCTTGATTACCTAACTGACCTTTTGACCTCTTGCTTTTCCTTTCAGCATTTTTTCCCTTTCAGTCCCACTCTCAAGTTTTAAATTTACCAATAAATGATTAAGCCTTGTGAAACCAAAGACAAAGCTCCCTCTACCTTCAATTTTCCAGATACCTGCATCCCTTCACTCTCTCTCTCTCTCTCTCTCCTCTTGCTCTCTTTCGCTCCCTGCCTACCTGACCCTAACCCACTATTACTGATCATCATGATGGAGGCTCTGAGTAGAAAATTTGGGATGGAGACTTCGCAAGGCCAGAAACTGGAGGTGAGGGTAGAAATCACTGACATAATCATTAAACATGGGAAATGGACAATTCTTAGGCCTCGCTGAAAATGGGGTTATGGAGATTGTCAGTCATTACAAAAGTACTGATGTTGCTTTGATGAGCTGCAGGCTTCAGTGAACAGGGTTTGGGGTTAAGTCTGAGAAGTGTCGGCAGACTTCCCCTTTCAGCGGCACATGGCGAGCTCACCCAGGAGAAGAAGACTTTGGCATAAACACAGGCAGGGGAAGGTGCTATTTTTAAAGGGCAGGTTTGTTGGGAACAGGAGAAAGGAAAGGAGAGGCCCCTGCAGCACAGGTGGGCAGGCGGGAGACCTGCGTTTTGGCAGTGTAGAAATTTTACTAATAGAGTGTTGTTTTGGAGAGGGGTTCATTCCTTTGTGGGACTGTTATCTGTTGTCAGATTCTTTACTTCTAGGGCATGACTAGGTTGATTTGTAAGGATGCGTGATTCTCTGTAACGGCCTTCATCTCCACAACCCACCTCGGTCTGCCTTGGGATACTCGCTCTAGCAGTCTGCACCCAAGGGCTTTTCATTTCTTTATCTGGATTAACAATTTTGATGATTATTTCTACCCTCACCTCCAGTTTCTGGTCTTGTGATGCCTCCATCCCAATTTTCTACTCTGAGCCCCCATCACAGCTATATAAAAAAAAAATCCTTAGGCACTGAAAGGTGTTAGAAGCAGACGGCTACAGGAGAGCTTCAGGTGTAGACTGCTACAGGAATGGAGATCATCAGTCCACAGAGGATGAACTCCATCAGGAAAAAAAAAAAAAATCACAACACTGTATAAGAACAACTCCTGCCCTAACAAATTGCAGTTTATGTCCCAAGACTCTCCTCCTATGTCTATGCAGACACCTCCTTTAACGAACATTTTCCTTTCAAAAGCAGAGGTGGTTCTGCCTACCTGTGTCTATGCAGCTGCCTCTTTTTTCCCTTTGCCCTTTGTCCTTTCAAAATGCAACCTGCTGTGTCCATGCAAACATATTTTCCTTAGTGAACTTACCACGTGCTGCTGAAAGGGGAACTCTGCTAAAACTTTCTCACAGGTAACCCAAGGACCCCCCTCACAGAACCCCAACAACTCCTCTCACCAAAACCCCATCAATCAGTTTTCTCCCAATACCAGCATGGGCTGGAGCTAGTTCAAGACTTGTCTGATATCAACTGTGCTAAATAGCAAAAATGCAACTGAATTAATTTAAAAGATCTAACCGATTTTATTAAATGACTCACAAACCAGGTGTAACAGTATAATCTTCAAAAAGGAAAGGCACCATGTTCCCTGTCCCGCTTAGGAATAGCTCCCTTAAACCACACATTCTAGAATGCTTAAATGAGATTTCCTGAGCAGGGGACCTGGGGCAGGGCTGAGCAGGCAGCTTGGTGTATAACTGAACACTTGGGAGCCTGGGGGCTCTTGGAATTTTTCTTCTTGCTTCTCTGGAGGCTACTGACATCCTATTACCTCATGGCAGCAGGGCAATAGTATTTGACCAAGTGTTAGCCAATTAATTATCTCTCCTTCTTTCTCTCACTCCGGTTATTTTTTGTAAATCTTTTTATCTCATTTTTATTTCTCTCTATGTGTCTGCCTTGGGTATGCCTCAAATTCTAGGTTTGTCAACGAGGATTCACATGCAACTCACCTTGTTTCCTGTGGAATACCCTGGAATACAGGCAGCATCCTATCTGGTAGTGGGCAGAATGAGGGGTCCCCCAAGGTTCCCAAAACTTGCGTGCTCTAAATGGTTTGCGCCATCCACCACATAAAGACAAAGCGTACTCATAGTAATACCTTTAATAGAAATGAGCTTTAATAGAATTAGTGTGCAATAGAGAGAAGAGAAAGGATATCGTTTCCCAATGAAACACCCAAAGTTACCCATCCCCTCGTGAGTAAATGTCCAGTTAAACAGAGTTGGGCCAAAGCTGGACCACTGAGACCTGAAAGGTTGCCACAGTAAAAGGCACCTTCTGGTAGGAACCATAGGAAATGGTAGCAGGGGCGAGGGAAGCCTGGAAGGAAAGGAGCAAAATCAAAGCGCAAGTCAAGATAAAGGCTGCCATGGTCGGCATCCCCAGGGGTCTTTCTCCTACATCTCTTTCAAGTGTCTCCTTCCATGTCCCCGAAGTCCCTGGTGCAAATCCAACACCTAAAAGTAAGTGCGGTTTTGTCTTTACCTGACTCTCCCCTTGTCTCTCCACTCCATGTGCCTCCTCCTCTTGGTCTTCTCTCTCAAGTCCTTTGTAGATCCTTCCCTCTCCCACCTGCTCAGCTCCACTCTGCAATAGGTGGGGCAGGGAACCTAGAATCTCCCCTCTCTATGGGACTTCCACTATTCCATAACAAACATAATGGTGCTGCAAGAAATTGTTACAATAGAGGCTTTTAGTAGTCAGAAAGATGGTGGGACAAGGTTATTAACCCCCAAAAAGTAATCATTTAGGAAAAGCCACCTTCCATTAGGGGTGTCTCGTACAGATGATCTCACAACACTGACCAGGAAAATCCTAATTGGCTAGATTAAATTTCCACTTTTGGGAAAGACTGAAACTACTGTTAGGTTAGATATGCAGTCTCGGGGAGCCCGGAAATGAAGGAGCCCACTAGGGATGGAGGAATGTGGCAATAAAGATGGTTCTAAGAGTGTACATGCTGCTTGGAGAGAATGAGCTGCATGAGGTCCCGGGAGAGGGAGACCCCTGTGTCTGCTGTCCTGACCACTGTCCCTGTGTAACAGGGTGGTCCACGGGAAAATGGAAGTTCCAGGTTCCCTGCCCCAACCAAGGGAGGGTGGAGCTCAAGAGAGAAGAGAAGAAGCTGGAGAAGAGACAGAGGAAGGATGGAAGCAGGATGGAGCCAGAAGGAGACCTGGAGGAGGCACATGGAGCTGAGAGACTCCTGAAAACACTGCGCTTGCCTTTGGTCATGGACTGGGTGACACAGATGTGGGTGAGAGACCCGTGGGGAGGTGACAATGGCGGTTTTGTCTTGATTTTAATTTTGCTCTTTTCCTCTCAGACTTGTCTCGTTGTTCCTGACCTTTTTCTATGGGTCCCCACTGGAACATGTTTTAGACTCATCAGGATTTTGGGCCTAGCTCTGGGCCGCTCCCATTTGGGTGAACTTTTACCCAGAGGGGATGGGTGACTTTGGGTGCTTGATTTAGAAACTATATCCTTTGTCTTTTCTGTATTGTTCACTAATTGTATTAAAGTTCCTTCCCATTAAAGTCTTGTATGTTTTGTGTTGATGCGGCAGATGGCAGAATCTTTTTAGAGCAGGCAGGTTTGGGGGTTCTGGGGTGACCCTCACCCTGCCCTGTAAGACCTGAAGGAGGACAGAGGGTGACAGCTGCTCTTCTGGTTCTCATCCTCACATCTGAACCTGACACTGGACCACGTGAAGAGACTGGTCCCAACTGAGCAGGGGATGCTTGGATTACATTGGGGTGCTCTTTGTCACCTCCCCTTATGGCCACCTCTTCTGGAAGCTCATTTACCAGCATCATTTTCCTTTGGGTTTCTGTAGATTTGTTCAGTGAGGGGTCTTAAACGAGCTTTTCAAGTTAGGGGAGGATTCACTCCTGTCCTTCACATCTGCAGTCAGAGAGGGACAAGGAAAAGTCTAGAGAGTCACCTGCAAAGATGTTGTAGAGGCCTCAGCATCACCCTCAAACCCTGGGCTTTCTTGGAAGCTTTCTTTTCTGGAAAGATTTAAGGACCACACTTTAAGCCATTTATCCAGTCAAGGAAGCTCTGAGAATTCTCGTTTCTATTATTGTTTGTCACCCAGACTGCACACCCCCAAGTCAATTAAAAGATGCAGTTCAAGCTTTAGGTCAGTGAAGCTGCTCTTTTTACATGCTGCTATGGTGGATACATACCAGTGTCAATGAGTCTATATTCTCAATTTTCCTTAGAATACAAAACACTGAGAGTGAACCCTGTTGTAAGTTTGAGTTGGGGGTTATAAGGAAATGTCAATCTATGTTCATCAGTTATAACAAATGTCCTATCTGGTATGGGATATTCAATGTTGAGAAGAGGGGACCCCCTTCTTCCAGAAATATCCAGTCAAATTGGAAGCATATCTGAATTGGAGAACAGCTCTCAGTAGAAGGAGGAGCATCTGGGCTGCTCGCTCTCACAGAACTACCACTGGGTGATTTTTGTTCAGGTTTGTATCACTGTGAGAGGAACAGCTTTCCACTGCTGACAGTAGTAAGTGGCAGCATCTTCAGGCTCCACACTGCTGATGGTGAGAGTGAAATCTGTCTCAGATCCACTGCCACTGAAGCGGGATGGGACCCCGGGATGCAAATTGGATGCATGGTAGATCATGGGCTTAGGAGCTTTCCCTGGTTTCTGCTGATACCAGTTTAACCATATGCTAACACCCTGACTGGCCCGGCAGGTGATGGTGACTCTGTCTCCTGGAGATGCAGACACGGAGGCTGGAGACTGGGTCATCTGGATCTCACACCTGGCCTCTGGGATGGAAACAGAAAACACACACCCATACTGTTATCCTGTCATCAGAGGACTTCCCTGAGGGCCAGGGGTCCTGCCCACCTGGGGCTGATCAACTCCTGGTGTTTCCTTCCTCACCTGGGAGCCAGAGCAGCAGGAGGCTGAGGAGCTGAGCTGGGGCCCTCATGTCCATGCTGGGTACTGCCTGGACTGACCCTCAGGGGCTGGGGCAGACTATGAATAGTGTGGAGGGAGGGGCTGTGCTCTGGGAACATGCAAATGAGCAGGGGCGGGGCAGTGGGCACAGCTGCAGGGGCTGATCTCAACAGCACAGAGGCAGGGACTCCCCAGTGACCAGGTCCCCCCAGGGTAGGGTGAACTTGCCTGCAGAGAAGGTATTTCTCACTGGGGATGACAGGACAGAATCAGGTACACTTCTATGAGTATAATGTTCTTTTCATCTTATCTATGACATGCTTTACTTCTTAGTCTCCATGTAGTACAGGGCCTATAAAGAAAGGCACTCAAAGAAATTTTACAAACTTCTTTATTTGAACTGTGGAGCCCAAGAGGCTATTTCTAAGTTGTGACTCCCTGATAGTACTGGTTGAGACATTGTCTTCTCTTCCAGAGAGAAATGCATTGAGGTAGAAAGGAAATAAGACAGTGGGTGTCCTGAGTTGCAAATAAAAGCCCAGACACTGAACATCCTCCCTGGTGACCTCATCTCCAGCTAAGCTTTTTGTCTCCCCATGTCAGAGGCCCTGTCCCACTATGTCCACCTCAGGCCCAAGGTCAGGGTGTTCTCCCCCCACATCTGACAGTCTCCTCCCTCCCCAGCACTGTGTCATCACACAGACCCGAACACAAGCCCGGATCCCTGGACTGTAGCTCACGTCCTTCATCCTCCTCCCCCAGGTGCTCCCTTCTGAGCTGAGGTCCTCCCAGACCAACTTCTCAATGATTCCTAGAGTCTGACTGTGCCCTGCACCTGCAGGTCCCCCGTCGCCACGTCTTCTCCAGGCCCCAGGAGACAGCAGCTCTAGTCTCAGCAGAGGAGGGTCTCCCTGCCCAGGCCCCTTCACTTCTCATAGTGGCAGGAAGGTGCCCTAACGCAGTGTCTGCCCTTTGTGCAGCCTCTGAGCACATCCTCCTGTGTGTCCTGTCCCATCCCACCCTCCTGCACAGGATTCCTAGAAGAGGTACCACCTCCGGACAGCAGAGGGCAGGATGGCAGACACTCCAGGGCTTTGACTGGGAGATGCCTACAGCCTGTGTGTGAAGCAGGATGATCTGGGAGGGGACTAGAACAGGAAGTGGTTCCAGACACACTGAGACACTGAGTGATTTAGGGGAAACGCATTCTGGGGGCAAGGGGCTGGCAAGGGGACCAAGATGGTAAGGAAAAAAGGGGATGAGATTGCACAGCTATCTGTCCAGGCCTACATCCCTGGGAAGGTTCCAGAGACCAGAGTAGCACCAAGACAGAAGGGACACATGGGGGGATTTAGGCCAAGATAGGGGACAGGATGAGGGTGTCTTTGCAGCTGATGGTGAGTCTTCTGTCAAGACCACAGACCCTGGCCCTGCAAGGAACAATGTCCAGGGGCAGCACCAAGGAGCAGGAGCCTGGGGACTGGTTTTTGCAGATTTCAGGCTGGGATGATGTGAACTCTGTCTGACCCTGCAGGCGAAAATGATCCTCTCCTGGGACACATGGAGGAGCCTGGGTCAGGACTCACTCAGTGTCCTCCCCACTGGTACTAAAGTGGGAAATTAACATGGAGATCCCCAAATAGCAATGCCAAACATGTTGATCATTAAACTAAGATTTATTTATTATCATGTTACAAAATAGGCTGAGTTCACTTTCACATAAATGTCTGATTATCAGGCAAGCAATCCTGGGGTAAAGCCTGAACACTTTTCCTCAGCAGAACGAGAGTTGGAGGAAAAGGGGCAAAGCTGGGTCCATGTATCAAGTTTCCTATAAGGTTGATCCTACACAGAGATTGGGGATGGTTGTGGGGGTACTGTCCGCAGCGGGGAGGGCACAGCTGCTTCCAGACACTGAGCACAGGTACTGGCAGGTTTACTCCCACTCAGCACTGGAGTCCCCCAGGCTCCCCATCCAGCCAGAGATGACCCTGCCTTTGGGTCTCCCTTCTTAGTATTTCTTTCATGGGCTAGAGTCTTGTGTTTACTTGGGAGTTTGGTGACCTCTAATGGCTGATCTGTGATGCAGCAACTTACAGGATTTTCTATGGGGCCCCACTCAGTCAGGGCTGAGAATTTCCCTGTTTTGGGTAATGGTGAAACTAATGTTAGGGGTCCCAGAGCAGACTCTGTAGTAACACAAATGATTCCTCTTCACAATAAACACGTCACCTAGTAAAGAAAAGTAGAAAACAGGTGACCAGGACTGGCCATCCTATTTGTGACAAGGCTGCCCCAACCAGGTCCTGTGATCACTTGAGACACCAAAGCTGTGGTTGGAAAAGAGAAGGTGGGGCAGGAGGGACCCTGCAGGCACTATGGTGGGATGGGGCAGGAGAGAGGATCCTGGTCTAGATCTGTCACCCCAGCCATGTTCCTCCTCCAGACATAGTCCAGAGCAGCTCTAGGGCCACAGGTAAGACGCACAAGTGAGAACCACAGTGTTAAGTCAGCACTTAAAACCTCGCTGTTACAAATAGGCTCAAAGTCTCTCATTTTAATTAAGTCTATATATATATATATTTTTTTTTTTGTGTGTGTGTGTGTGTGTGTGTGTGTGGGACCGTCGCCGGTGGCCGGGGATCGAACCGGCGCTGCAGAGGCTGCGGGCAGCCTCGCAGCCCAGCTCTCAACCACTGCGCCACCAGGGGAGGCCCTAAGTCTATTTTAACTATGTAGATCTGCTTGTGGTTTGTGTTCTTTATGTTAGGTTCTGCTGTTTTACATTAATATTCATAAATATCATTGTGATAATGAACGTATTATTTTTTTAAAGATTTATTTATTTAAGCATACAAGAGCTGGGGTGCAGGTCAGAGGTTTGGGGGGTGAGAGAATTCACCAGAGACAGACTGGGGAACAGAACTGGCAGATTAACTGAAATACACAGCTGAGGGGAGCAGTGGGTGAAACAGGAGAGGTCTGCTACACCATGTCGGTAGCTCCCTGGCTGGAGCAAAGTCGTACTGCAGTGACTGCGGACAGCTTCATAGGTTGTGTCTTAACCCTTGAACCACCAGGGAGGCCCTGAACTTATTTTTAACACCGAGAGCTCTCAGGGGTCCCATAACAGATGGAACATTCGTTTTCCTGTGTCGAACGTGTATCTTCTTTAGAGAAATGGCCAGGCCTCTTTGACTTCTGGACACAGCACACTCCTTGTGTAGGCCAGGCCTGGCTCCTGAAGCAGAGGATGTGAAGAGCCATCTTTGAATGGGGACTAGAAAGCAATGGTCTCTGCAGCTGGCCCAGCCTAGGGGGCAAGCAGTCCTGCCCCTCCGGCTCCTGTGGTCTCAGGAGACTCCAACATGAACAACCCTGTACTTAGCTGACACCAGGGAGGCTCCAGTGAACAGCAGTCAGATCCCATCCTGTGAAACATATGCTAAGACAGGACATACTGTGGGCCTCGAGACAGGACACTGAAATTAAACACGTTCAAATCATACAAAGTACATTCTATACAACTTTAAAAAAGTTATATTCAATATCAGTAATGGAAATATATCCAAAAATTCCCAAATATTTGGAAATAAATAGACACTATGAAATTAGATTAAAAAATGACACAAGAAAACCCGAAAGCATTTTGAAGATGTGTATATGAAATTTACAAGAAAGCAGTGAAGTCAGGACTCTGAAGTGGAGCAGTGAGCACATGTAACAGCAAAGATGGTTTCAAATCAAATACCAGGGCTGTTACCCCGACGTTCAGTAAGGTAGGAACAAATCCTCTTGTGGTTTCTGTTGGGATGAGGCTGCTCAGCGGAGGAGGCTGGGAAAGGTGGTGTCTGAGGTGCAGTGGAGACTCATGATCAGGAGCCCTTGCATGTGAACAAGCCCCTTGAGTTCTCCTAAGTCTTCCTCTCACCCTGAGAGCCCCCGCCTGCTCCCCGTTGACAGCTGGTCACTCAGGAGGGAGGTTTTTGTTCAGGGCTGAACCACTGTGGGAGGAGAATGGGTACTTTGCTGGCAGTAATAGACTCCCAGGTCCTCAGCCTCCACCCTGCTGATCTTCAGGGTGAAATCTGTGCCTGACCTGCTGTGTCTGGGACTCCAGTGTCCCTCTTGGAAACTTGATAGATCAGTTGCCTTGGAGACTGGCCTGGCTTCTGCTGCAACCAAGCAAATAGGTGTTTCCATCACTATGTACAAGGCTCTGACTGGCCCTGCAGGAGATGGAGGCCGACTCCCCCAGGGTGACAGTGAGGAAGAGGGGGGTCTGGGTCAGGATAACATCTCTATTGTATCCTAAAAGAGTGAGAGAAAAATGCAAGATGATGTACACATCTTATGAGCCATTTTCATAATTTTCCTTTCTTATATATTTCAGACTAAATGATTTTTACTTTCATTAATATCCTAAAATGCCTGCTTTTAAAAAAAATGCGCAATAAAGATTGACATTTAGAACCTGCATACAACACGCCCCCCCTTCTATGTCACCAGAAGACAGGTACTTGCTTCTTCCAGTTCTCATACTGACCAGGGGGTCACAGTACATGTCTGCATGTGCACTGAGACACATGGGGAGAGTGCTGCACCTCCCCCTGCAGTGACCTTCAGGGCTAATGGCTGTTGCCATGGTCCCTGAGGTCCAGCGTGGGCAAGGAACCATGCGCGCAGGGGGAGAACAGCAAAACTCCCTAAGGCATAGATAAGCTGGATGCCTATTCAGGAGATAACGACTGCCAGAAGACGCCACAGGATAGTAAGAAGGAATGCTGCTGATCTTTCTCAAGGCCCACAAACTTTATTCTACTATAACTGTCTTTCTACAATCTTTTCTTTTCTTTTCCTGGTCTAAAAAGGTCATTGATTGCTGATTAAAAAACATATGTAATCTAATAACTAGGCTAATTCAAATGAAACATTACAAAACTCTGTGTAATAATAGAATGGTTAGTAATTTCTCGGTTATATGCTTGGCTTTGGTAGCTTTGATGTTAATGAAAAATGCATTGCATTATAAGAAGT